TTAAAATTGAGAGTTGATAATTAGGATCAATAAAAGAAGATCGACTATAGTTGGGATTATTTATAGCTTACGCATAGTTCACATTTAAATTTGATCTGCTATACCAGGTTGTAGCGATAGTTGGGATTATTAGTAGCGGATCGGCAACAGTTGGGATTATTATTTTCCATTTTTCCTATGTAAAATCATTTATGAGTTATTATAAGTGACTGGAGTATTTTAGGAACTTTTTTCAATAGTTGAGATTATTTTGAGAAAATTGATATTTTGGATTATTTCAAACGGATCAATAATAGTTGAGATTATTTTTATCCATTTTTCCTTATAACTTTTACTTTTACAACTACTCTATTAATAATTTTGTCAAATCAAAGGGGACCCATAAAATGGGACAAGCTATTATATACTATACTCGTACGTATTAACATCTCCATTCATCATACTTAAGTTTATGATTTTCTATAGCTTATTATTGTCATGTCACTTCACATAAGAAAATCTTAAATAATCTCTAAACTTATCAATTTCTCCTCATCCATGATCTTAATTTACCTATGTTTTTTATGAGACATGCCCTCAATTTCAAAATCTCTAACTTAAATGCACTCATACACTCACATGCACTCCATATGGACACAATATACTAAGTATATACATTTAGTACGTACATCATTAATGATATATATATATATATATATATATATATATATATATATATATATATATATATATATATAAACTATTCCCTTCAACAAAATTGAAACGTCATTATATATGTACATTGTATACCTTTTAGGTTGAACATTTAGTACCTTGTATGTAAAATAATTTACACTATTAAGTTAAAAAGAATTATTTTATATACAATTATTAGGTACACTTTTTTATATATTACCTTGTATATAATTTACGGACAGTGCTATGATAAAAAAACAAATGGATAGTGCTTTTAAGTATAATATAGTACTTTTAATTACAGTATCTATAATTCTTAGTGCATGCAGTTTAAAAAGTTTCGTTGTTTGGAGTAAGCCTAATCATCACCTTAATTATGACTTATGAGTATGCCTAGAAAATGGGAAGATGAGCCTAAAAGTTAGAAATAATCTTCGAATAATCTAGCTTTAGAATTTGATACTAGATTTTTTTTATCAAATAATCTCTTCAAATAATTCTAACATCTCATCCATAATCTCAAAAATTATCATCGACATCATCAAAATAATCTCTAAATAATCCCATGGATGGGGATGCCCTTAGAAGAATTAATAAATGTTCATGTGAGCATTAAAGCTAGAATTATCTTATCATTGTGAAAAAACTATTGTAAAATATTAAAAATTGATGTAGATCCATCAAATCTCTGCCAATACATTAAAATCTTTTCTAAATTAATTACATACATTGCACACGCATTATTTATAGGGAAAAATTTTCTTAATAAGAGTAATAAAGGGCTGAGTTTACAAACAGGTCTAGTTATATACTAGTATGGTTTATCAAAAATATGATTTCCAAATTCGAACAATCTGTAGAAATGTAGTTTGAACTCCAAATTAGAGATTTAAAAGTGTTTTAGGTTATGGCAGGGTTGCCAAGCTCTAGGATTAAAAACATCATCATAATTACCCCAGTGCCACAAAGTCTCTCATCTACGGTGGGGTAAGAAGATCGGATGTACGCAGTCTTACCCCTGTACTAAAAGCACAAAAAGACTGTTTCCGAATGACCCAAGTGAAAATCATGTCGAAAATTGCATAGACTGACTGTTACTTCATACCAAAGAAGCGCAGACAGTTTAGTGAGACACTTTGCTTTATTCCATCATATTCCCAAGCTAAAAAATAGTGAGTCTTTGACTCCATTGAAAATGATGGAAAGACACCCAAGGATTAAAAAGGAAAACATAAAATTATTATACTAACTTTTATCAGGACAACTTCATTTTCTCATCATTATTAACACCAAGTCTAACCGGTCAGCTGGGTAAGGGACTATAATCATAAATTCCAATGCATCATAAAAAATTACTTTAAGAAACTATGAATTCAGGAAAAATTAAAGCTGCCCAGATAGGCTAAGAAAATTAATAAGGTGCAACTTTTACTAATATTTAGGGTAATATTTGTTCTCTTTTGTGATAAAAAGAAAACGTCTCCAATCCCAACAAAATACTCCGTAGAGTTTGACCATTTATCCTCCCTCATTTACTTCATAACATTCTCTCCCTCTAGTGGTTAGCAAGAAAGAAGCCAAAGAAAAAGCTTTCAAAACATTTAGAACTCGTTTGTTAGCACCTGTTTTTAGCTTATCATCTAACTTTTATACCATACACGTAAATTTTGATTTCGCGCGCTGGATCGTGTAGTGATTAAGATAAATAAGGTTGAGTTAATTTTCTCGTTGAAGTTACCAGGGGACCATTTTAACTATTTTCATACATTTTTTTCTTAAGTTTATTAATACAATATATTTTAAATATAATTTTCTATAATTTAGTAAATTTAACCGATTCGACCAATTTTAATGTTACCGAGTTGTGTTCACTTAGGTCGTTTTCCATGTACTCAGTAGCTTTTAGTTTGAATTCTGAATGTTTGTACTTCCAAGTGAACCAATGGTGGCTTCGTACTCCAGTGTTATCTCGCCAAATATTTATGGCAGTCTCAAGATTCATAAGTACAGAGTGCTATCCCAATCTGTTAAGTTTATCCCATTCTTTGAAACAATGGACATGAATCATACCGTATGATTTTGTCCAGAGCATCTGTTTTGCTTTTTTATTGAAGATTGAGTCTTATTTGCTCTGAAGAGTGTACTGTTGTTGTTTGACCATTTCATTGTTCATGGAGTATTTGTGCTGACTAAGGAAAATTCTGAAGAAAAAAAAGGACACTGCATAAATTTGACTTATTTGGTGCTTATGGACCTTGTCCTTAATTTTGTAAGTAATGTGTTTCTTCAACCCAAAAAACCCAAAAATGACACTGCATAAATGCGAGTTAGTTATTAGGTAGTACTCCCTCCGTCCCTTAAAACTTTGTCATCTTTCCATTTTGGGACGTCCCAAAAAACTTTGCTACTTTCCCTTTTAATAAATTATTTTGTGGATTATGTTATTCCTCTGCACAAACCTCAACCACATAGTTTTTACTTTATTATTCTTTGACGGTCAACTTTAACAAAGTTTTAAGGGACGGAGGTAGTAGTTGTCTATGGGCTTATGGCGCCTGAGCCCACCCTAGGCGCCCCCACACCTCGGATCCAACATAATCGTGGAAAAATAAATAGTGTATGACCTGACAATTAATGAGTGAGGTGGTTCTTGGTCTGGTCACGGGTGCGCATAAAGAGCCACCACAATGGATAAAACTTTCACACCGGGGTTGACGAGAACATGTGTTTCTTCTTTTCCATGTCTTGCATTATATGGCTGTTTTTTTAAAGTTAGAAAATTGTCAGTTGCTATTCATTTCTTTAAAGAGAAAAGGGGCAAATAAGGCCACGTACTAACAAAAAAAGGTCAAATAAGGCCTTATTTATGAAACTCTGTCCGGCATTCGCCATTTGGGTTGGTTCTCGGTGGAATTTTTTGATGAAATTTTTTGACCATCTTATTCAGTAAGTCTAGTTTACTCGTACCAAATTTAAGCTAAAACTTCAATGTGAAGCCATTCAAATGAATTCTTGAAGATAATTGCGCAGTTAAAAGCGCAGTTATCTTCAAGAATTCATTTGAATATCTTCTCGATTAAATTTTTATCTGAAATTTGGTAGGAGTAAACTAGACTTGATGAATAAGATGGTCAAAAAAAATTAATCAAAAAATTCCACGAGAACCACCCCAAATGGCGAAGGCCGGACAGAGCCTCATAAATAAAGTCTTATTTGACCTTTTTTTGTTAGTACATGACCTTATTTGCCCCTTTTCTCTTCTTTAAATGCTTTTAGACATTCACATTCCGCTTACACTCATTTTGACTGGGATGCTTAGCTTCAAGGGCTTTTATATGCGGGAGTACATTATTATTCATTACGTAGTATTGACAGAATACAGTAAAAAACTAATTTGCTCTAATTTTACCTTTTTACATTAAAAGTGGCATTCTGTTTAAATATTTTAAGTACTCCGTATTACTTAAAAATTAATGGCAAATTGTTCAAGTAATTTTTTATTAAGCTGACATGTAAAAACAAATGAATCATATTGACTCTGCTGAAATGCAAAAAAAAGAAAAACTATATTGACGAAATGAATACACCACTTTCATATAAAGAGAACGTATATTTGAGTGTATTTGAGTTTATTGAGGGTGCAAAGTATGGAGACTTTTGTGAGAGAGTAATATTTAAAGAGTTGTATATAGGGATGTGTGAATTAATATTTTAGAGAGAACAATTAACTTGATACTCCCTCCTCCATCCCTTAAAACTTTGCCACATTTTCTTTTTGGGACGTCCCAAAAAACTTTGCCACTTTCCCTTTTAATCAATTGTTTTGTGGTTTCTATTTTTTCTCTCTCCTCTACACAAATCTCAACCACACAGTTTTTACTTTATTATTCTCCGTGCCGGTCAACTTTGGCAAAGTTTTAAGGGACGGAGGTTGTAAAATACAAGCTAGTAACTAGTACTTCCTCCGTGCCGAAAAGGTTGGCCAAATTTCCTTTTTTGGATGTTCCAAAAAGATTTGTCATTTCCATTTAAAGTAAGAAATATGTAAATATGTGCCTAAAATTAATTCTCTCTCTTCTGCACAAATTTCAACCACACAGTTTTTATTTTATTAATCCACGTGAAGGTCAATTTTGGCTAACCTTTTCGAGAAGAATGGAGTAATACTAACCCGACCAGAGAGTAATTTACAAGTCAGAGTGAGGTTTGACCAATTTTGAACCCATGCAATTCCTTCATTTTAAACCGCTGCATTTTTTTGCTGCAATTTCTCAAATTATAGGATGGGATGTCTGATATTTCTAAAATTTTATGCACTTTATGCACTTTGTTTTCTGTAAGTAGCCTACTCTGATGAAAAAGTCAACAACGGTCAACGAACAAAAACAAAATTTTGGGCAGTTTTGTGTCAAGGTTATCAACTGAATAAATATCGATTCCCATGGATAATTAGCATTTTCAAATCTCAACTAGATACTAAACTATAACTAATTATGTAACGAACTACTACTAGTTTTGGATACCAGCGGCGGAGGCGGCGGAGGCATTTCTTTGTTGGAGAGCTTCAACCAAATGTTGGAGGGCAGGCTCGGCAGAGGCGGCTATGTCCTTGCTCGAATTGGGCATGAGAATGTCTGCAACATCTGCGGGCGTGATATTCGTCTCCTTCATCAGCATTTCAATCGATTCAAAGAGCGGGTGCTCTTCCAATTCGAGGTACGTCCTAGCTAGAACTTTGAATCCCTCAAATGTGCAGTAAGAGAGCTCGATATGCCTGTCCATCCTCCCTCTTCTGATTAGGGCAGGATCCAATTTCTCCACATGGTTCGTGGTGAACACGATTATCCTCTCCCCGCTGCAAGATGACCATAATCCATCTATGAAATTCAACAATCCAGACAGAGTGACTCTGGGACCATCCGATTCGTTTCTGCTGCTTTTTTCAGGGGCGGAATTTTTACTCTTCTTCCTACTTCCAGTAAGATCCAGGGAGCAGCCAATGTCCTCGATCACTACGATTGATTTGCCGGTGATTTCTGCCAAGAGCTGCCGGAGTTGCTTGTTGTCGGTGACCGAGGTCAACTCTAGGTCATAGATATCATAATACAGTAAATTCGCCATTGCTGCAATGAGAGTGGACTTCCCTGTCCCCGGTGGGCCGTACAGTAAATACCCTCGCTTCCAAGCTTTCCCGATCCTTGTGTATAAATCCTTGCTGTCTTTGAAGGACATTAGGTCTTGAACAATCTCCTCCCTTTTTTCTGGATCCATGGCCAGCTTCTCGAAGTTGGCCGGATGGTCGAACACGATATGGCTCCACCCGGTGCCGGAATGGTGGCTATTCGTGTACAGCTTCTGCCTCTTCCTTCTTGTCCCTTGCTGCAACTTTCCTTCCCTTATCACGTGATCCAGGTATGCATTTGAGACCAGATCTCGATAGCTCTTGTGGAAAACCAGTGTGTAGTATCTGTTCTCCAGCTCGTTTTCCTTTTCGGAACGACGACGGACTCTCCCGGCGATCCACTCCACCTTCGCCCCTCGGAACTCGTCGTGGACTCTCTGAGATTCGGCAATGCTCAAAGCGAGGCGCTCCCCCACGCCATCGGGCCTGGTTACCATCTCCGCCGTCAGTCGGTTGGCTTCCTCCAATGATCGTGTGCTGAGGTAAGCCTCCACGGCGGCGTAGGCGCTGTGCGGCCGGATATTCCGCTTGATGTACTCGTGGATTGAGATTCTGATGTAGGGATTGGCGAATAGGGTGAGCTTGAGCGTCCATTGGTTGAGAAGGCGGAGAAGCTGATGCGGTAAGTATGGCCGGATCATCCTCCATAGGAAGAGGAGAGTGAGAATCGCATTGCCTGTTTTTCTAAGGCGATGGACGATCCTCCACGACGAAGCCTGCATCTTTCCCGCGCCGCCAGGGCGCCTCCTCTTTCGTGCCGCCTACAAAAACCCGAACTGTGATAAGTAATAGCCTAATATATTTAGGAATCTGCCTAATACTCCGTATATATTTAGGAAACTATCTAATATATATTTAAATATACTTTGTATTTTGGCAACTCTTCTATTATAAATATATCTGTCAGGGTTCCTATTGGAGTACTCTTTCATATTATTTCACATGGTATGAAGAGCTCTAGGTTTGTAGATTCACAATTTCTATTATTTCTTTTTTATTTCCAGTTCCCATGAACCCTTGTACAGCCGCTGCCGCCTCGGGGTCGACTGCCGCCACATCTACGGTAGTCTCCAATCCCTTGAGGATGAGCGCGGCTGATATGCAGGGCCGGTTCTGGGGCATGGGCAAGGGGGCGTGTGCCCAGGGCCCATTGCTCCTGTAGGGCCCATAAATTTACCAGTTATAAATAAATATAAATTATATATACGTTATATATCTATAAAAATATAAAGGTAAAATAAAATTTAGAATTTTTATACTTCCAATTCATTAATTATTCAACAATATCTAAATGCTATAAGTCTAAAATTTTGAAACATCTACACCAAAATTTATTGGGAACACACTTCACAATTCTACTCATTCATAAAGTGTTAGTGCATAAATGTTAATCTTTTCATCTACTTCTCTCATGTAAACCCATGATTCATTCATACCAATTCACTAATTTTCTTTGATTCTCACATTTAAATGAAATGTTAAATTATAGTATAAAGAATTTAAAAATTTGTAGTTTATTTTAGTCTAGTGAAAATGTGATTTGAAATATAAAAACATTACTCCATATATCATATAACATTCATGTCTTTGCCTACTTTTCATTTGATCAGTTTAAGTATATAGATAGTATTCTCGAATGTATGTAACTTATCAATTACTTAAATATAATCTTTCTAACTGTCTCATTTCTTAATTTCTTTGTTGTATTACATTCGTATATAGATGATGAAATTCCTTAACTTTAATTATAGTTTTTATAAGAAAAATAAACATTTGCATGTTCTTAAAGGCCTACTCTATCTATATTGTCCCGGGTCCATAAAATGTCAGGATCGGACCTGCTGATATGGCGCAAATCACCTTCCCCGCGTCGCTGACCACGATACCTTCTTCCAGCGTACCGATGAGTTCGCCGCCTGCTGCTGCCTACGTCCGCGCAGCCCACATGCTTCGCGTCGCTGACCACGGTGCTTGCTTCCAGCACACTGTTGAGTTCGCCGCCCGCTGTTGCAGACATCCATTCTCTAGTGGAGTCCGGTTCGACCGCTCGCACAGCTGTTCCAGAGCGCTACGCTTGTTCCACTCTTTCTGGTGAGCCAGTCATGATCCTGTCATCTTTTGTCGGGCCAGTTGGTCGTCGGCCGAGATCCTCTCCGCTGCCAACTTCATTCGCTGCTCTTGTTCAAGGTATCTTCAAGGGTCTCCAAATTGTGGACAATATTTGTTGTCTTTCTTGGTCCTAATTTGGTTTCTTGGAAGTCCTAGAAACAACCTACTTGCTCATGGAGATCTTATTGTCAAATATGTGCCTCATAACCTTCCGCCGGCGGATATAATTACTAAGAGTTTTTTCATGTTAGTTTGCAATTTCATTTTTTAAATTAAAAGACAACCTGCGTGTTGTATCTCCCGCACAGTTTGGATATCTGCATATCAAATCCAGATTTAAACTCAATTTAAACAGACCATATCAGGGCTCCTATTGGAGTACCTTTTCCCGTTATTTCACAATAAGTAATGATCTCTCCTTTTTTTTCTTTGGTAGTTAAATTAGCAGGGCCGGTCATGAACGTAAACCATTTTTAGTACACCTTTAGCAATTCTCGCCGGAGGAGACGAGGATTACCTGAAGAGTGAAGGCTGAACGGAGTGCGGTGGTGAGCAGACGCAGTCCGGCAGTCGGTTGCTTCTTCATTGGCGTAGAAAGCTTAATAGGGTATTTGCCTTTGGGTGGGAACTGGGAAGTATCCGTAGTATATATTCGTACGAAGTACTTTACTTAGGGCTTCTTATTATTAAGTCCGTTTTTTTTTTGGAGCTGTTAAGTCGTATAATAAACATAAGCACCCTATTTTTGGATTATTTAACGAAATAATTAAAGTAAATATGTTTGTAGATTTTTAGATTGAATTTGTTGAAAGTATGGAAGGAGTTACTATTTTTCATATAACTTTCTTTACTCTATTAATAAACTGTTTCGTATATTTCAAATATTGTATTTTTTTATAAATTCACGGATTCAACTACTTCACTCATGTCGATCAGAATTTCACCAATTTCAACAGATTTAGCCAATTCAATCAATCTCACGAGCTCTAATGATGTTTTTGATTATATTCAAATTTTGTATTTTGATATTGTTTGGTCTCGACTATTTATATTCTACAACTCTCGAAACCTGGTTTTATATGATATGGTCTGTTTATATTGAGTTTAATCTGGTTCGGACGCGAAGCAATCCAACTAAAAACATCTTAAATAATTGTGTATTTATTGAAACTATGAAACTTTCTTAGTACCATTAAAATCAATGTAGAAAATACTCGGTAGTAATTACCAATTATGGTTCTGGAAACAAAATGCAGAAACATTATATTCTTTTTTTGGCATATGTATAAGCACTACAAAAAAACACGCCGTTTGTCACGGATTTTTTTCACGGATTCCGGCCGTGACAAATTTGTCACGGGCTTTGTCACGGAATTCTGGGATTTGTCACGAAAATTATTTGTCACGGATAAATCCGTGACAAAATCCGTGACAAAATATTGTCACGGATTTGGTCCGTGACAAATTTACTCCGGCGACCGGTTTTTTACTCCGGTGAATACTTTTTTGCTTCCGGGTATTTGTCACGGATCTGTCCGTGACAAATCCGTGACAAATATCAAAAAAACTCAATTATTGATTTTCCAGCGGTAACCTTTAATAATACGGTATGGGAAAAGATTTGTCACGGATAAATCCGTGACAAATCCGTGACAAATTTCAAAAAAACTCAATTATTGATTTTCCAGCGGTAACCTTTAATAATGCGGTACAGAAAAAGATTTGTCACGGATAAATCCGTGACAAATCCGTGACAACTTTTTTTATATAACCCAACTCCATCGTCCATTACAATTGCAAGAACAACAATCAGTTTAAAAATTCGTAGATTCGAGTGATGTAGTATCGGTTTAAAGATTGAATGATGTAATCCGTCAGTTCATCATTTTCCGAGTTTATGCTGATAAGGTATGTCATTTTAATTAATTTCTTTTAATTGTGTGATAAATTAATTATTAGCTTAATTAATTAATTATTATTAGTGAGGTTAGGATTCTTTTTTCTTTATATAATAATAATTAATTATTAGCTTAATAATTAATTAGTGAGGTTAGTTATTGTTCATTTATTTAAACTATTAACGTAATTTAGTGAGGTCATGTTAATTTTCATATTATTAACAATATATTATTAAACAATATATTTTTTGAAAAAGCGCCTAAACTTTTGAAATAAACTTTTAAAAATGCGCTGAATTTTTAATTTTTTTTTTTAAAAAATTTAAACTTTTGTCACGGACTGTTCCGTGACAAAATATAAATTCACGCTAAATTAACGTATTTTTTTTTTTTAAAAAAATGTTTTGTCACGGATGGGATCCGTGACAAATTCAAAATTTTGAATTTTTCGAAAATTTTAAAGCTCCCGCTCACTCTATTTTAAAATTTTCAAATTTTTTTCAAAATATTTTGTCACGGATATGTCCGTGACAAAATTTAAAATTTGAATTTTCCGGACCGTTTCAAATACCCGCCCACTCTATTTTGAAAAACCTTTTTAAAATTTGTCACGGATAATTCCGTGACAAGTAATTATTTTTTTTTTTTGAAAAATAAAAACATTTATTCACGGATGCGTCCGTGACAAATGAAAGGCGATGGGATTCCGGTGAAGTGTTTTGTCACGGACCGTGGCCGTGACAAATCCGTGACAAACAATCTCACGGATTAATTTCCGTGACAAAAACGTTATCACGCCCCTGGTGTCACGGATGGGATCCGTGACAAATCCGTGACAAAAAATCATTTGTCACGGATTTTTTGAACTACCGTCCGTGACAAAATCCGTGACAAACGACGTGTTTTTTTTGTAGTGAAGGATGTTTTTACTTGGACTGTTTTCAATCCCAGACCATACTAGACTTGACTTAAACATATCAGATCAGGCCAGACCAAACTTGACTTCCTAGTTATAAAATACATAGAGATCAGACGTTTACCAAATCATACCAGACCAGTTCAGATCAGACCAAACTTAAATATATCAAACCAGACCAGCAAATTATAGTCCAAGTAAAAACATTAAAGTTAAACATAAAAGTAATTGTTACGCAATAATATTTAGCAGTACAATTATATGTCAATATCAAAATTAAAGTATTATGGAGTATTTAATACCAATAAATACCAATGTCAGTATTGATATACTTCGTTTTTTATTTTATATTCCCTCATCTCATAAATTAAACAAAACTTTTGTTTACCTATAAATATTAATGCAAAATAAAATTTTACTTCAAAGATTGAACTCATCTTAATCATACTCATACGGCCATATCATTGGTTTAGTTAATTTTAAGATTAATTTGATGGCATGAAAAATTATTCCAAAGATATGCATTGAAAGAAAAATATTATTAGTGGGAATTATTGAAAACTAAAATCCAGAATCAAGATTCAAATTCTGAATTATTTTAAATTTTAGTTAAAATGTATTTAGTGTATATCCTAGAAAAACTAATAATAATGAATAATTTTAGGCTACAAGATTATTTAAAATTAAATGAGTAATAATAATGTGGCAATTAGGTGTCACTGTCTATTCAAATAAAATTTATATCAATATCTATATCTAATATCTATATCTATATCTATATTTATATTTATATCTATTCTATATATTATACAATTGAGAGTCACATTGAAGGAATGAAATTGCCATGTGTCACTCTTTGGGG